TAAGAAACAAAAGGAAGAGTGCCGAAAATTACCTCAACCAGGCTTATTACACCTCACACCGAGTCACCATCATCTGATGGCGTGGGATCAATAATCAACATTCAATCTCAACCAGAAAAGCAAGATTAGGCCAAGCCACACCAATAAAACATGAACCGCTTTGATAACAAACTCAAATCCTAGGTGAATTCTCTTAGCAACCGAGTTTGAGATAGATTGATTTATCTTTTTGCTAAACCCTAAAACCCCTAGCCATAAATCCCTAGTTGAGATATAAGAGAGAGAAGAACTCCATAACCTAAACCCTTAGGTTCTTTCACAATGTGGGAAAGAGAGATCAAAGATGAGAAAGTGGTGTGTGCCCCCTTTGGCTTTCATGAGAGAGAGAAGCTTTTCTTAAGAGAGAGAGAAAATTCTAAGTGGGGCGTGCCCCTTTGTGGGATATGAGAGAGAAAGATGGGAGTTAGGTATAAGAAATAAAGTGTAGAGATTTTTGGGGTAGAGACCATCCCTTTTTATAGGCTTTGAATAAAATTAAGGTTTCTTAGGATTTCTTTGGCTTGCCTCTTCTTGTGATATTGAATATAAACTATTGATCTTGGGTGACTTGTGGGGTGAGAGATTTTAACCAACCATTCCATAGATGAGCCATCAACATTATGAAAGACACATGAACCGTTATCCCCCTTTCCTAAACCATTTTTCCATCAATAAAAATTAAATAAATTAGACATAATCAAAATATTGTGTATACCATAAAATAGCACAAGTCTAGTCAATATTTCTACAAAATCTTTCAAAGATATATCAAGTCAATATTTAGTCAATATCTTCCAACCATATGGCCACATGCCAAATCACCAAAAAATAGGAAAGGGAATAAGGGTGGGACGTGCCACCTAAGGGAGGCACTCATGGGCCCCACCTTCAAGAAATATGGTGGGCCCATATGCACAATGGACCCCTATGATATTTTTATATATTTAAAATTAATAAAAATATTTTAAAATATTATTTGAATATTTAAACCAGTATAAAATCAGTATATTTAATTATATAAATCTAAAAATTATAAATAAAATATCCAGGGGTTCATAAAAATTTAAATAATAATCCTAAAATAATTTTCATCATAAAAAAATATAATTAAATTAATTTGATGGAAAAATGATCCTTATGGTATAGGAATCAATAATCATGGGGCACTCCACTTTCAACTGTGGACTACATACCACACTTATTTTATAAGCCCGACTCAGTGTTGCCCATGACCCACAGTCCAAGCAAGGGCTCATTAGTGGGTCACCAAAGTCCGGTCGATGAGCCAAGGGGTCACAATCTCAGTCTATGGATTTCAGGTCCTCTCCTAGAGACGAGTCAATGTTACCTAGACTTGATGTGACCACAGCTCCGATGGTGCATAGAGGTATATCTCGCATATGTATACGCTTCACCCTAGAAGGTGGATTTCTGGCTTTTTCCAACGATCTATCGATATGCATGCCATGTGATGGCTCATTGATGAGGCTTTAGCCTCCGTCTCTTTAGGCCACCATCACACACAAGGGTCACACAGTCCCTCGGCTCACTCATCCGGGCATATTCTCTGACATCATCAAGGGCTAACCCATTAGAACCCTTCTCAGTTTGTTCTTTATGCCCAGGTAACATGGGTTTTTCCCAATCAACTGACCTAGATCGTCAAGCATAGTAATATCGCTTGCTTAATATGGTCCATGAGGGACCACACTCCTACTGAGTTCATGTTCCAATATATCATTTCATTTTACAAGCACTCGTAAGGCCTTTAAATGCCACATAAACCCAACATCTCCCACTTATCATTTGAAGGTCTTATATTCTCTCTTTCTCACTTTCTCTCATTCCCATCTCTCTCTCTCAATTACAATATCTCTCAAGCATTTTTACTTATTATCTCAATACATTAATCATGGCTTTCGCAATCAATCCTTTCACAAAAGGATTTATAGAGGCAACATTTTTCTCTTTGCTGCTCGGATCTCATCTCAAAAGTGGTCGTAGCTTATCTTTTACATCGCATCGCGAAGCATGGAGCTAAACAGAAGACCATCACGTACCCTCTTCGTATGGCATCGTATATTTATAGGCTCAAAAGAGTTTTTCAAATAAGTTGTTTGTAGCCATACAACCAACACCACACATTTGGGTTCCATAGATGAATAACATTATAGTCTGTTGTTCCATCTGGTATGTCAAATACTAATAGGTGCTCTCATTGGAATATTTAGTTTATCTGGATCTCAATCTTTCTCAATCTCACATTCCTTAGGTGATAAAGACATGGTTTTATATGCTGGGAG